ATGCCGCTGCATAAAATGCATCGTCACATAATCACCAGTTAACAATATGCACCTGAGGCTACAGTCTATCCTGTTGATTAGCACACACATATGATCTTTCGTTCACGTTTTCTGACTCACTGACCTTAGGATTTTAGGTTGTTTAAGTTAAAACTTCAAAATAACTGCCTGTGGGGATTTCCAAATGGACTTTAGTTCAACTAATGTGTTTCTCAAAACATTCAAATGTTTAATATCTTTCTCAGAATTTTATTGTCTTTGTCCTTCAAACGCTCCTCAGTAACAGAACATATGGCAGTGTGCTTTTCTGGTCCCAATGTGCTCATGTGGCATGTCTTCACGTAGTCTACTAACACAACTCACCTTCAGGAAGTATCCAATCCGATTATATGAATAACACCTACATAGCAGACTGCATGATTATTCGATTGATTGGTTATTCTTCATGTAACTGTTGCTTTTTTGTGTCTGTTGTGAACCATCATCTTATATAATAATGTTAATAAAGGTATATATTAAAATATTCTAATATACTAGTTATTAAAGCATTTGTATTTCTCTACATCATAGGTGTCAAACTCTGGCCCGCGGGCCAAATTTGGCCTGCAGCCTAATTACATTTGGCCCGCGAAGCCATGCCAAATTACTATTAGAGCTGGCCTACTGGTATTATACAGCTAATATATCTATTGTTTAGTATTAAGCTTTGCTTGTTCCATATTCAGTTTTTCAGCAAAACGTGTTTGAGTCCATAAGAAAAGATTCATTCTTATATCTGGAGGAATAAATATATTTCAATAAATATTAATGTTAGCCCGCGACTTTGTTCCAGTTTTGTGTATTTGAGTTTGACATCCCTGCTCTACATTTACATGTATTTTTAAAAAAATGTTTGTAAACACAAGTCTAACTCACAATAAACACATGCATATGAAAACACGTGCTTTGGATTTTGTCTGAACTGCCTGCCCCGCTCTGTGGGTTCCAAGCCTCGACTGACTGCTGAAAGTGTCAGGGTGGGAAACACACGGAGAGCAGCAGCTCAGGTTTGTTTAGTTCAAACTAAAGCTTAATAGATTTATTCTGGATTTCCTGTTATGGCAGCTGCCATGTACTATAATAAGTAGACAGTCAGCTTATTCAGAGAAAGTGCAGCAAGTGTTAAATGTGAAAGTTCATGACGGCACGATAAGAAAAAGACTGAACAAGTATGGTATCTTCCAGTGTTGGGAAGGTTACTTTTAAAATGTATTCCATTACAGAATACAGATTACATGCCCTAAAATGTATTCTGTAACGTATTCCGTTACGTTACTCAATGACAGTAACGTATTCTGAATACTTTGGATTACTTAATATATTATCATGCGTTTTACAACAACGTGAATGTACTATTGCTGTGTGATTTATTACTATTACTGAAGGTCCACGACTCCGAACTGTAGTAAAGGGACCTCTGACTAATACGGCGGGGTCCCTGTCGGCTCGTAGCCAAAAAATAGCTTTACTTTGTTGTGTGGGTCAACTTTTCTTGCGAGAGACAGAGAGAGGCGTTGAAAGACTGCTCCAACGGAACTTATTGTTTTGGAGGAAAACACGAACACGGTGTACAGTCGAGTCTTAATAGCTTACTTACAGCTGGGCTCGTCAGGCTCTCTTCTTGGCTGCAGTGGTTATTATTATATTTACATGCTTCCAGCTCCCGTTTTTCCTCGACGGCAACTCGTACCTTTCCACTCCCCTTTTTCTCCCTCCTCGCGCTCACAGACCCATAACGTGTATGGCAGTCCATTCTCCCTGCAGCACGGACTACACTGCCCATGATGCTACATTCTTTAGAGCTATGCTTGTAGCATTCTGCCTGTTAGCTTAGCACAACAACAACAACAGCGAAAAGGCGCTCTCTCACCCAGGAAACACACAGTCACAGAGAGAGAGAGAGCGTCGCCCTGTAACCATGGCAACCGTAACGCTGCCGCCTGGAACAACAGAACGTAGCTGTCAAACAAACCCAAACAGTCCTGACCCGCGACAATATGAAACAGGAAAGTACCGCAGTGTAATCCATTTATTTCAACAAAGTAACTGTATTCTGAATACCACCTTTTTAAACGGTAACTGTAACGGAATACAGTTACTCATATTTTGTCTTTGAAATACGTAACGGCGGTACATGTATTCCGTTACTCCCCAACACTGGTATCTTCTCTCTAAAAGAACACGACTTAGGTTTGCAAAGCTGCACCTGACAAATCCCAAGACTTCTAGTACAACAAAACAGCCTTACGGACCTGGGATTCCCATTTCTACAGACGCTTGACAACACAGTGAAAGGGAGACTGCGCCTGAGATGGCAGCTAAAAAATGTTGTCATAAAAAATGTCCCATGTTGTACTCAAAGTCAGGGCCGGGACAGAAAGGGGTGAGAGAAGCCAAGCTACTGGAAGTTTACCACCAGAAACAGTGTTTTGGAAAGTAGAAGCATGCAGCACACAAGCATGCAGCACACAAGCATGAGCGGTCGTTCTCTTTGCTTAAGGAATCCAGGTGAGTGACTGTCTTTTAAAAGATTGAAATCATTTCAGCAGTTGAAATTGCAAGTTACAGCTGTCTGCTTCACATGAAGGATGACCCTGTGAGCAGGTAATACAGTTTTATAACACAACAAAAACAAGTATTATTATCTCCTCTTGGGAATGACGCAGCTGGTCCTGCAGTCAGCCGATTGGATCTTCTCCTGCACTGCATCCACCACTGATGTCGTCTGCATCTGCTCCTTTTCCTGGAAAAAGGAAAAAAACACCTCACTCCCTGATATCCAGCCTGTTGTTTCTACTTATTTTCCAAGTCCGGGAAGTTCTGGCCCAGAAAAATATCCCCCCGACTCTAACCAGTAATGATGTTTGCAAATCCCTCTGCAGCTCAACATGTCACTCTCAGTAATTCAGTTTAATCACAGCTCTGAATGGACTTTTGACCCTCATTGCACAGTGCCAACTCTTAACGAGCACAATTCCAATGTTTATATAAAACTCACACAAAAACAGCTTTATTTAACCATTTTATTCCTAACAGCCTACAAGAAAAGTGTGAGACTACTTAGTCAGAAAAGAAGAAAAACAGCCAACGAGAAGTGACGCAGAGTCCAGTTCAGCTTTATTTATATTGATCCACGTCACAACAATACTCGTCTGAAAAAGCTTCACCCAGAGCCGACAGTATTAGAGACACGAGACAGAAGGACAGCTGACAGCTGGGTTAAAGTCATGAAGAGACCCAGTTCACATCCATGTTCGACTGAATATGTGTGAAGGTAGAAAACCACAAACAGGAGCAGCAGCTGACCTTCCTTCATTAATGAGTAAACAGCAAAAACACTGTTTTTAGTTTATGTTTTGTCTTGATTTACTGAATTTAGTCTAGTTTCCATTTGTTTCCACAGTGAGTTTGATCCTTTCAGTTTAGATTCTTGCACAGGGACAGTTTCCAGTGACCTGAGGGTCATTTATAAAAGCAGGAAGGAGCTGACAGAGCTCTTAAGATCTTTGTCTATGAGCTGTATTCATGTTTGTGTGAATATAAAGTTAGACTGCTGTAATGGAGGGTTCCAAGCAGAGGGGGCATACTTAATTCATTTTTATTTTCAAATCATTTGCATTTCTCTTTGTTTTCATCTCTCCTAAATTCTAGTTGTTGTTTTTTTTGTTTGAACATTATTTATTCATTTATTTTATTTGTTTATTTTTGAATGCAATTTAACAGTTCAGCAGGTTCAGGTGGTTCTAATCTCGGTGTTTCCAGGTGACTTCTTCAGTCTCGGCTGACTCCAAGTTTCCAACCTCATAAACAGTAATGACTGACTATTGCACCACTGAATGGACAATGGGCTGTGAGGTCAGTGTCTTGGTCATTAATATGCAAAATGTCATGGCCATTGACCAGGGGTGGAAAGTAACGAATTACATTTACTTGCATTACTGTAATTGAGTAGTTTTTTCTGTATTTGTACTTTTTAAAGTCATTTTTCAAGTCTGTAATTTTACTTTTACTTAAGTATATTTTTTTAAAAGTTTTGTAGTTCGCTACGTTTTCAATCACACCCTCTACTGAGTAAATTAAAAATAAAAAAAACATTGCGCTTCGGAAATACTGCAGGGAATGATGGGTAGTAGAACAAATTGGCGTTAAGGTCACGTTAAAGATGGAGTTTAACTGCCACTGCACTTTAATTTGTAAAGTTTTTCTTTTCACTAAAAAAGAACTACTTTGAGATTTATATCCCACTGTCTTTTTTTGCACTACTCAGAAGCGGCTGTCCTCCTGCTGACAGAAACGTAACTATGTAACTTTTACTCTGAGTACATTTTAAATGAGCTACTTTTTACTTTTACTTGAGTACATTTTTAGACAGGTAATTTTACTTGTACTTGAGTAAAATTTCAGCAAAGTAATAGTACTTTTACTTGAGTAAAATATTTTAGTACTCTTTCCACCTCTGCCATTGACAATGGAGCAATGGTAACTGGTAATTCAGGGTCACCTGGTCCAGCCGTAACTATATGCTTTAGCAAAAAGGAAAGTTTGAAGCCTAATCTTGAAAGTAGAGATAGTGTCTGTCTCCTGAATCCAAACTGGAAGCTGGTTCCACAGAAGAGGGGCCTGAAAACTGAAGGCTCTGCCTCCCATTCTACTTTAAATACTCTAGGAAGTAGGCCTGAAGAGCGAGAGCGAAGTGCTCTGTGGTTAAGTCAGTTTATTCATTGAGGGCAGGGCCGGTCCGTGGCATAGGCCGTATAGGCAAATGCTAAGGGCGCCGTCCATCAGGGGGCGCCACGCCAGTGCCACAAATGTTGAAAAGAAAAAAAAAAGTTGGTACTATTATTTCTAAATACAAAAAATAATCCCACGTTAATTAAAATGCAAAGTAAAGCTTATTTAATAGAAATATTATTTGTTACAACATTACGCCCCCCCCCCCTCCCGGCACGGTGCGCCCCCTCCCTTCCCGTATCATGGTTCCTTTTGGACGTCACCACATCAAAAAATCAACACAAGATGTCAAAACGGCCAAAACTGTCAGGTGGCCAGGGAAGAAAAAAGAGAAAAGAAGAGGAGGAGAAACGAGAAAAAGACAGAGGTAGGTAACGTTAGCCTACATGAAATTATTTGTCTGAATGTGATAGTAACCTAAATTTTTAGCATTAAGCTAATGTTACATGATTCGCTAATTGCTAATCAATAAATAGCTAGTTAACTGTTTTAACGTCAGTTAATATTGTGGAGGGGGCTAAATTGTTATGGAAAATAATAATGTAACGTTAGGTAATTACAGTACTCCCACCTTTCCCACCATTCCTCATTTGTATTCATCTTTTAAGCAGGTGTTTTTTGTTTACATTGTTATTGCCTTCTGGTTAGCTAACGTTTACCCTGCAGGTAATAGTCACTTTTCCATCCATCCATCCATTTTCATCCGCTTTGTCCGGGGCCGGGTCGCGGGGGCAGCAGCCTAAGCAAAGTCAAAGCTAGTCACTTTTCCACCCCTGTATATATTATAGTTGTAAGCCTAGTTGTTAAAGCGCACATCATTAATGTTAATTAAGCAATATCACATGAGAGGGAATGCTGTTTTTTAATATGAGCACTGCTGTGATTCGGTCAAAGATAATCATAACATAACATTCTCATATGAGCATTTCACTGTAATGATGACAATAAATTGAATCTAATCTAATTTGCATATCAGTTAACATCATACATATATCTCTTTGGTTTTTCATTTATATTATATCATTTCATTTTATTCCTGGAATCATATGCTTTTATTATTAGACTTTAATACTCAGTGGTGTCACATACTCCTCTCTTCAGATGCACTGTTGAAGTTTCTAAATCCCACCCCTGGGCCATCTACCACATGGATAGTGTCAGGAGAAGACATACCACAAGTTAAAGAGCATTTCCTGGGCTTTCTTGTTGCAGAGGAATCAACAGGAGATCATTTGTCAACTCTCATCCTAAAACGGATAGAGGAGCTTAACATTCCTTTTGAAGACTGCAGAGGACAGTCCTATGACAATGGGGCCAACATGAAGGGAAAAAATAAAGGTGTTCAGGCAAGGTTGCTTCAAAAAAGGAGCTTTTTTTGGTCCCATGTGGTGCCCACACTTTAAATCTGGTAGTAGCTGATGCTGCAAAAAGCTCACCAGATGCCCTTGGCTACTTTGGGCATTTAGCAAAATTATTCAAGCTCCTCTCAGCCTCCACCCATAGGTGGGATGTTCTCCTGAAACATGTGAAAACCACCTTGAAATCATGGGCTGAGACCAGATGGGAAAGCAGGATAAAAAGCATTGAGGCAGTCAGATATCAGGCTCGGCAAGTCAGAGAGGCTCTTCTGGAGGTGAGGGAAACAGCTACAGACCCTGTGGTCAGTGTTGAAGCCCAGTCTTTGGCTGAGGAGATTGGATCCTATCGTTTTTGCATTTGTACAGCCATCTGGTATGACATTCTCAGCAAGATCCAGTATGTGAGTAAACTCATGCAGTCGGCCTCCATGCAGCTAGATGTGGCTGTAGACTTGCTAAAGAAAACCAAAGATTCCCTCACCAGCTACAGAAACACTGGATTTTCTGATGCACAGACAACGGCAAAGGAGATGTGTGAAGAAATGAATGTGGAGGCTGAACTCAAACAAAAGCGATTGAGAACCACCAAAAGGCACTTCGGTTATGAGTCTCCAGATGAGCCCATACAAGATGCACTTAAAAAAATGGAAACCACATTTTTTAATGTGGTAGTGGATACAGCCATCTCTTCACTTGATGAGAGATTTCAGAACCTTGGAGAGGTGAATGACAAGTTTGGAGTACTCCTCAATTTCCACAACTTACAAAATAAAGGGCTGCTACAGCAGTGCCAAACACTGAGTACTACTCTGACCCATGACAGCCAGCCGGACATTAATGGCACAGAACTTGCAATGGAAATGCAGAATTTCCCACCATTGCCATCAAAGAACATGAGAAACATGGAATTCTTGACCTTCCTGCATGAGAAGAAGCTGGTAGAAATTTACCCCAACATGTGGGTTGCTCTGAGAATCTTTGCCACTCTTCCTGTTACAGTACCTGCTGCTGAAAGAAGCTTCTCTAAGCTCAAACTCATTAAAACCTACCTGAGATCTACTATGATGCAAGAACGTCTCAGTGGACTTTCCATCATAAGCATAAATCATGTGGTCTCAAATCAGTTGTCATATGATGATGTTGTAGATGACTTTGCTGCAAGAAAGACTAGGTGTCACGGTTCTGGGTCCGTTGGACCCAGTATTTTGAGTTTTATTATGTTTGGGTTTTAGTTTACATCGGGGATTGTTTTCTTGTTCTCTTGTTGTGTTTATGATGATGATTATGATGTTTATTATTAGAGTTCCATGTTTCTGTTTATCTGGGTTTAAGATGCGGGTTTAGTTTCATATGTTATTTCCTGTCTGTCTCTCGATGTCGAGCCTGCGTGTGATGTTTTATTGTGAAGGTCTGCGTCTCATGTGAGTGTGTTCAGTTTTACCTCTGTCTCGTCTTACTGATTGTTCCCAGCTGTGTCCACCACCTGTGTGTAATTCCCGTATTTCTCTGTGTGTATTTAAGTCGTGTCCTCCGTCATTGTAGTTGCTGGTCCGTCTGTGTATTCCACCCTGCCTCATCTGTGTATCTACCATGTCTCACCCGTGTGTTCTCCCTGCTGTCCGTCATCATTCTCCTCTGCTCATTTTCATTCAGGTTTGTGCTTTGTAGTTTTAGTTGTTTCCCAGTATAGTTTAGTTCTCCGTGTTGCCGTTTGCCTCTCCTTTTGTGTTCAATAAATCACCTTTTACACCTTCACGACTGCCTGCGTGTGGATCCTCCTTTTCCTCCTCCACACGGCTCCTCTCACTCGCCGTGACACTAGGAGAGTAAGGCTGTAGCAGGTGATGTGAGGTTGATGAGGGGGTGGTGTACAGTAATTTGTAAGTCATTCTAGTTAATGCAGTATTAAAAAGCACAACTAGAGAACTCTGTAGGATCCCCTTTTTTGTAATATAGTTGTTAAAGTCATACTGGTTTATTTACAGTAATATCTTGTTTTGTGCAGTGCCTTATTTATATTGTATTTTTAATTTATTTTATCCAACTTGTTGACACGTTTTATTGTGTTTATGTATGTAAAATGTATTGTATTTCATATATTCATTTTTTATTTTTTGTATTCATTTATTTATTCATATATTTTTTTATCTTGTTAATTATTCTGATTGTGAATTTGGTTTCTTTAAGTAAAAAAAAAAAAGGTCAAAGACAAAGCTATTCGGTTTCTTCTGAGTACATACACTACACTGCCAATGTAGGGTGGCGCCACCTAAAATCTTGCCTAGGGCGCCAGATTGGTTAGGGCCGGGCCTGATTGAGGGTGTCTGTCTATGCTGCTGTATTATTCTTTCTTTGTGAGTTTTTGGTAAATTTTTTGTCTGTTTGGGAGCTGACACAGTCTCAGTGGAGATGGGTTTTAAAAAATTTGTCCATATTTCTAGAAATGAGAGCTGCTCCATCCAAAGTGGGATGGATGCCGTCTCTCCTAACAAGACCAGGTTTCCTCCAGAAGGTTTGCCAATTATCTATGAAGCCCACATCGTTTCTGGGACACCACTCAGACAGCCAGCAATTTAAGGAGAACATGCGGCTAAACATGTCACTCCTGGTCTGATTGGGAAGGGGACCAGAGAAAACTAACACCAATTTAAAAAAGACACAGAGGGTGTCCTGACAGAGAAGAAGAAAAAACGTTACCACACATTACATTTGTTTTTTTACTTTGATCTGAGTCTTTACAGAAGAAGACTCAAGTTTACTGACAGGAGGATGAGGCTCCGCCCACAACCTGGAGTAGCGTTCCCTCGGTGTCTCCATCCCGCACGTGTTCCTGGATCAGGTCTGCAGCACACTGTGTTGATGAGGTGAAGCTCACCTGTTCACATGACACCTGTAGGAAACAGGACTCACCTGTGAGATTTGTCACCTGTTGAAATCTTTGAAGTGTCCATGTTATTCATTTACAGATCAAATGTCACCCAACAACCACCTAAAATAAGGTCTGAAACCTTAAAGGCAAAATCCAGGGGAACACTGGATGTAAGCAGTCCATAGAATAATCACTGAAGTGTTTCAGCATTTCAGCTGAAATCAGCTCAAATAAAATCAGTGAATCAGCAGCAGTGAAATCATCACTGATGACACCATCACAAAGCAATCATCTGTGCTTAAAAGCCCACTAACAACGAGAAGACAAGAACCTGGCTGTTAATCCTGAATATTTCATCCAGTTTGGCTTTGTCCACCCCTCCTGATTCACCAAACACCTGCAAACACAACAACAACATCATAACAAGGTTGTAACTACATTAAGAATAATACCAGCAATAGTTGTAATTTATCAATAGATTTCTCACACAAAGACACCGTAAGTATGATTCCTGTTTCATCGTTAGTTGAGGGAAAGAAGGTCTTTAAAGGTTTCTTTAGTAATGGAAAACCAGAGACCAAAAATCTTCTTCAATCAGTGACGAATAGTAAGATGTTCTGGCTTTACGGAGGGCTTTCTTATAAAGCAGCAAACTGTTTCTCCAGACTCCAGAAATCTCTCAGTCAGAACATGCTATGTCATGTTTAGGCAGAAACTAGCGAGCTAACTTCCTGCTAACTTCTAACTCCATTAAACTTCATAAATACTGTTTTCATGGATGCCTGGATGTTAAACTTAGTTGTTACACCTGGTAAAACAGCAACGCTGATCATTTTATTACAGATGAAAGAATTTAGTGCAGGGGTCGGCAACCCTGGGCACGCGTGCCACAGCTGGCACGCGAAGGGTTAACTGATGGCACGATCATAGCTGGACTGGCCATTGGGCTTACCGGGCATTTGCCCGGTTGGCCGATGGTTTTGTTTGTTTGTTGTTTTGGTTTTTTGCAACGTATAATCATTGAAAGGTGGTGGATTGGCCAGTTGTTGGCTGATGTGTAAATGTAACTCAGTTGTTTGGTGGTGGCTGTGGTGGAGCTTCCACAGAGGCCAGCAGGTGGATGAGGAAAAGGGGAGGCAGGAGGAGGAGAGACCCGAGGCGGCCGCCGGTCCGAGTGTCAGGTGATCTGAACTTCAGAAGTTATGACCTGCAGTCTATCTGGGTCAGATATAAACCAAGTTTAGGTGGAGTTTATTTTCGTTGTGCTGACTTTTTACAGTCAGTTACAATAACTCGTACTGCGTTCTAGCATGACGGAGTTTCTATACTTGGGTGGTGCTATGATGTTACTGATGGTGAACTTTATTTTGTTCATAAGGTTAGTTAGTAGAGTTGCCAACCGTCCCGTACAAACATAATCACCCCGCATTCAGAGAAATTATTACGTTTCGTGTTGAGCTGAGAAGGAACAGTTTGTCCCGGACTTCAGCTACAATGAAAAAAGACACAAAGCTGGATTTATTCTGCATCTTCTCTCATTCTCTCCCCTCCCTCTCCTGTTTCTACTTCAATCATGAAGCTGATCAACAATCAGCTGATCGGCACCAGAAAGAGGAAACCAGCAGATGTCGCACTAAAGAACAGCAGCAGGTTTAAGCTTGATCAGCTGTTGTTAGAATTTATTTAATATTACTTTCTATCAGCTGATGTTTGCTGGAGCCACAGCTGTAAAGCTGCTGGTCATGATGTCTGTTTGGATATGTGGTGAGAGGGAAACATGAAGATGAAAGCAGGAGATGTCCTTACTGAATCATCAGAGCTGAACAGGTGATGGAGAAACAGGTTTACCTTTTAGGTGACATGAATGAGTTGAAGTTATGAACTGTTTCTGAGAGACAAATAACACCAGGATCCTTTTCTTTGTAGACCAAAAACCAAAGTTTTTATCTGATGTAAAATGTATAAAAATCATATCAGCAAGAGAGTGTACAGCACTGTCACAACAGTGTTTGTTTTCATTGTTGTGAGGAGACCATAAACAGCATTTGCATTTTCTGCTGTACCGTTCATTTGCTGTTATGGATAAAAAGTGTCTTTTTTTTGTTTCAAAATAGCTGATAACTATTTGCCAACTGCCAACATCTGCAAACAAATATAATTCTGTAAAGTACTGTTAATATAGAGCGTTATTAAATGTATTGCTAATGCAGTCATATGGCACACTGACTTCTGAGGAAATTTTAGATGCACTCATCATCAGAAAGGTTGCCGACTCCTGATTTAGACAGTTTGTAACTCTGAGTGATGCCGCAGAGTTCATTTGACTTTGGGACCTGAAGCAGAGTTTGGACCAGACAGGAGAGGGTTTTCAGGAAACACTGTTAAATGTTCAGTTTCTATCCCATACGTTAAAACAAGATCTACAGTGTGATTAAAGTGGTGGGTGGGTTCTTTTACATTTTGTGAGAAGCCAATTGAGTCTAATAACAGATTAAATGCCATGTTGAGGCTGTCATTTTTAGCATCTACATGGATGTTAAAATCATTTATTTATTTCATTTTCATTTATAAAGCACATTTAATAACAACAGGGTGTTGACCAAAGTAAATGGTAAATGGTCTGTATTTATATAGCGCTTTACTAGTCCCTAAGGACCCCAAAGCACTTTACATATCCAGTCATCCTCCCATTCACACACTGGTGATGGCAGCTACATTGTAGCCACAGCCACCCTGGGGCGCACTGACAGAGGCGAGGCTGCCGGACACTGGCGCCACCGGGCCCTCTGACCACCACCAGTAGGCAACGGGTGAAGTGTCTTGCCCAAGGACACAACGACCAAGACTGTCCAAGCCGGGGCTCGAACCGGCAACCTTCCGATTACAAGGCGAACTCCCAACTCTTGAGCCACGATCGCCCAGTGCTGTACAACATAACAATTAAACAGTGGCATTAATAACAACAACAGATAAAAATTAAAAATTAGAGCAGCAGTCCCCAACCTCCGGGCGTCGGACAGGTACCGGTCCGTGAGTTATTTTGATACCGGGCCGCGAGAGTTGAGGCTTAAACTGGTCCATGGTGCAAAAAAGGTTGGGGACCGCTGCTCTAGAGGGCGTATACAGCTGCACAAGGTCAGACAAATAGTCCGGTGCATGGCCATTTAGCACTTTATAAGTTAAAAGTAAGATTTTGAATTTAATTCTAAAACGCACTGGAAGCCAATGAAGGGAAGCAAGCACCGGAGTAATATGTTGGTGTTTCTTCACACGAGTGAAAAGGCGAGCTGCAGCATTCTGTACCAGTTGGAGCCGGGCCAAGCTGGACTGACTGACACCCACATATACAGGGAGTGCAGAATTATTAGGCAAATGAGTATTTTGTCCTCTGCATGCATGTTGTCTTATTCCAAGCTGTATAGGCTCGAAAGCCTACTACCAATTAAGCATATTAGGTGATGTGCATCTCTGTAATGAGAAGGGGTGTGGTCTAATGACATCAACACCCTATATCAGGTGTGCATAATTATTAGGCAACGTCCTTTCCTTTGGCAAAATGGGTCAAAAGAAGGACTTGACAGGCTCAGAAAAGTCAAAAATAGTGAGATATCTTGCAGAGGGATGCAGCAGTCTCAAAATTGCAAAGCTTCTGAAGCGTGATCATCGAACAATCAAGCGTTTCATTCAAAATAGTCAACAGGGTCGCAAGAAGCGTGTGGAAAAACCAAGGCACAAAATAACTGCCCATGAACTGAGAAAAGTCAAGCGTGCAGCTGCCAAGATGCCACTTGCCACCAGTTTGGCCATATTTCAGAGCTGCAACATCACTGGAGTGCCCAAAAGCACAAGGTGTGCAATACTCAGAGACATGGCCAAGGTAAGAAAGGCTGAAAGACGACCACCACTGAACAAGACACACAAGCTGAAACGTCAAGACTGGGCCAAGAAATATCTCAAGACTGGTTTTTCTAAGGTTTTATGGACTGATGAAATGAGAGTGAGTCTTGATGGGCCAGATGGATGGGCCCGTGGCTGGATTGGTAAAGGGCAGAGAGCTCCAGTCCCACTCAGACGCCAGCAAGGTGGAGGTGGAGTACTGGTTTGGGCTGGTATCATCAAAGATGAGCTTGTGGG